TGTGGGTGGAGGGGGGGAAAAAGAAGGGGGGGGGGGGGGCTCAGGAAAAGTTAGAATTTATGACATTGATGTCCATGCCTTCTTATCCCAGTGACAACCATTCTTCTTACTACTTCTCGCAGGGACAGCGTGGTCACTAGAAGAGGGAGTCAGCAGATATCATTCCAACAATCCAATACAAGAAGAGACTAATTGGGACTTTTAAAAAGGAGACAGACAACTATCATCAATTATCATTAACCAGTTGACATCCGCGGTGTTAAACCCTGTTCCTGACCAGGCCATTTTTCAGTATTCAGCGCTGCGGTACTTTGACTGACATTTATTCCGTCATGCAGCGCTGTACTGAAATGAATTTTATACCCTTTTTTGGGGACAGATAGAGCTTTCTTTTGGTGGTATTTATTCACCACTGGGGGTTTTATTTTTTTACTATATTAAGGAAAAATTACCGAAATTTAAAAAAAAAAACAGTTTCCCCTATATTAAATGATAAAACATTTATTATTACCCAATTTTTTGGTAAAATATAAAAGATGGGGTCACGTCGGGTAAAAAGACACTAAACATGTCAAGCCTTAAAATTGCGTGCGCGCGCGAAACCTCAAAAAACGATAATACCCAAAATTGGCCATAGGCGACGCTTTAAAAGCTGTTACCGCTCATCAGTTTAGTGTTATCAGTGATTGATGGCCCTAAAATGATTGCTCTCACTGCGACGTTCGCGGCGATATGTAACATGTGTAGCGCAATTGTAATTTTTGCGCGCTGGGGCACCGGACGCGTATTTACGTTTATAGGCGCGTAAACGTGGGGGTGGGGGAGTTAAACATTTTGGGGGGGTTTTTTCCCCTTTTTTTATATGTGACTTTTATTTTATTTTACTTTTTTATGTGTTACTTTTATTTTTTTTAATTTATATTTATTTTTTTGCACTTATTGTTATTGCTATTATATAGGGGGATAACAATCCCCTATATAATAGCAAAGGCACACTGACAGGTCCTCTTTATGGAGACATTAGGGGTCTCTAGGACCCCTAATATCACCTGTGGACCCCAAAAGAAGCTGATGAAGCAGAGATCTGCTCACTTTCACAGCAGTGGGCCCCACACACACATTAGCAAAAATAGATCAGCACAGGAAACATGAACTGGGGATTATAATAACAAAAGAAAGGAAAAAAAAAATCACTGACTTGGGTTAAACTTTTATGGTTTTTGATCTCCAGAAAACCTTTGCAAAAAAATTTAACAGTTTGGGGATGGCCCTTTCCTGTTCCAACATGACTGCGCACCAGTGCACAAAGAATGGTCCAACATTCCCATAGACACACTCCTAAACCTTGTGGACGCCTTCCCAGAAGAGTTGAAGCTGTTATAGCGGCAAAGGGCGGAGCCAACCCAATACTGAACCCTACGGACTAAGACTGGGATGCCATTCAAATTCATGTGTGTGTAAAGGCGTCCCAATACTTTTGGCAATATAGTGTATTTTTTTTTATTTAAGTACATTTATTTTTATATATTTACTCAAGGTGGATGGTTATGGAGATTGTAAAATTACAACAACAAAAAATCGCTTAACCTGTATATAGGTGAACCACTTCTATGGATGAGTCAGCTTGACCTTTGAAATACTGGGGAAATCTCGCGATCGTATGATTATCGCAAGGCGTGTGGAAGGCGTGCGACCTCTGCTACTGTAAGGTCGCATGACTTTGATCTTAGGAACATGTTCGAAAATCCACCGAGGATCGTACGATTGTCGGCGCGTGTGTAGCATGTTCGTAAGATAAATGCCGCACGGGCCGGTGTGCGCAAGCGCACACTGCCCGTTCAGCATTGCGGGGCGGGCTTGCGATCATCTGGGCGGGCTTGCGATCATCGCAAGTACGATCTGCCTGTCCAAGATAGGTAGATCGTACGTTTTTTTAATTACCTTACAACCATCACAAGACAAAAGTCTTGCGATGGTTGTAAGGTGTGTGCCCAGCATTAGACAGCTGAAGAAGTATTTATGACTGAGACTTTGAAGGATATGACAGATGACTCAACACCATGTACTCGGCTTAAGTGCACCAGTGGTAAGAACAAATCAGTTGTAGGTAGTGATTGGTAAATCAGGAGTGAAGATGTAGCCATGGAAATGGATTGACTTCATCGGTTAACTCTAAGGGCTCAGTCACCCTAGATGCAGTGTGTTCCATCCCGATTTTGGCCGGAACGCACTGCCTCGCATCGCAGCCAGCTCAATTTTTAGGGTGGTAGGAGGGGGCGTAGCGGGCCATTCAAGTGAATGGTGCAGTAGCTACACCCTCCGGCCGCAATGCAATCCGCCGCACGGGATCGCAAGGCAAATGCTACAAGCACTATTTTGATCGCATCGCACAGGGCCGGACCGCAGGCACAATGTGCCTTGCGATCCCGTGCGGCGGATCCCATTGCGGCCCGTCACGCCCCCTCCTATCCCACTAAAAAGTGAGCCGGCCGCAATGCGAGGCAGTGCGTTCCGGCCAAAATCGGGACGGAACGCACACTGCATCTATTGTGACTGAGCCCTAATAGTATGGCCATCCTTTTCCATGATAATCTCCTGGGGTCTCCTACGTCCTAGAGCAGGGGAAAGGCAAACTCTGGTCCTCCAGCCTTGAAGCAACAACAAGTCCCATGAGGCATTGCAAAACTCTGAGAGCCACAGGCATGACTCCCAGAGACAGATGCATTATGGGATTTTTAGTTTCACCACAGCTAGAGGACTCGAATTTGCTTGCCCCTGGCCTGGAGGAACCCAATGGTGTCACACATGGGATTATTGATTTTTAGATTGGACCTTCGTATCGGCATGCTTGCAAGTTTGGTGTTGTATTTTTGTGTATTTGTAGCCAAGTACCCATCTATTTATATACCACGGATCAGCATTTCTCAATGTTTTTTCAGTCACGGCACCCATCAAAAGTAAGCAAAAATCACCCCAATCTAATATGTAGAAAACACAAATGTAAAAAATGATGTGCTGTTCCCACCATATACCAGACCCTCATCCTAGATATAGCTAGATATAGGTATGGTATGCATTTAAAGGGGAAACCCTATGCAAAAAAAAAAGAAAATGTAGAGAGTTTCCTCTTTCACATCGAAGTCCCCCTTACATCAGAAGCCCCCCTCAACATCAGAGTCCTATCTCATAATCTTCACCAGAGTGAGACTTGGGCAGCATGGCAGAGTATGGGAGGCGGAGCAAGTCAGATGCAGGCGGTCTTCTGTCCTCTTCTGGATGCTGGGGGATGTCCTGGATACAGCCCGCCCTGGATTACATCAGGGCTGTCCCTAAGACATTTGCGGCCTGAGGCGATATGCTGTATATTAGGGGAAGGGGGGTGGCAGGGAATGGTCACTGGAATGATTCCCCCGATTACTCTGCCCCCAGCATTTAAGGGGGGGTGAATACTGGGCAATCTTGAATGTACGGTGGGACTAATCTGGGCACTCTTGGATGGTAACTGTGGACTATGCTGGGCACTCCCAGATGTAAAGGGGGGGGGGGCAAACTGGGCACTCCTGAATGACCCTCATACTAAAAGATTTGGAGTCCCCTACTCGAGACAAAGCTTCCATTTTCTTTTTGCTCCCCATTCTGCACATTAAACTTGCTGTGCGCGAGTCCACAGCTATGCAGATCTCATCCCCTCACTGCATGGAGATGCGAGATGCAGGAAGTGTGCCAGAGCTTACAGAAGCGTACAATATATCCCATTGTGTTCAATCAAAAGGTCCCGAAAAACAACATTTCACTTAGTTGTTCAGCCCGGCCGGTCCAGTGTTTAAACATAAATGGACGCCTAGGAAATTCCCAACCCAGAACCTGCAGATACACAGCTGTGGAAAAGGCATGTGTGCAAAGGCCCAGATGATGCTGTGTGGCTTCAGGACTGGTAGTGTTGGGGAACCAAAGGGATATAAAGGGAGCAGAGGGGAGTTCAGCTTTGCTTTTTTTTAACTTTTATAAACTCCAAAAAGGTATGAGGTTAAGGCTCAAGGCCCAGGACTTCTAGTTGGCACTTTGGGATGAAGACTGATCGAGAGGGAACTCCACTTCAATGAACTTTTCTGCATCAAGTGAACACAGAAGAGCTCACTTTGAGAACTTCCGTGTTCGGTGCAAAAGAAAACCGGCAGCTACAGCTGGCTAAGCAGTGAAAAGGGAACTCTATATCACATGATCTGCATGAACTGATGGCAGAGGAGGCATCAACGGCTTATTTAGACCCCTGCAGCATCCATAAAGAGCATTGGGGGTCTCAGCTGCCATTGTGATGTGCGGGGTCCCTTGTGTATTCCTGTGCCTCTAAAGGGGGTGGGCTGCCTCCTGGCAAACCTGCACCCAATTTTATCTTTTGCTACATGTGCTCCAAGATGGAGACTCTCATAGATTAGAGTTAGGACCGCACTATATAGGAGGAGCCTTGGCGCAGCTTTCACATTTTCTGCAGAAGACGTGCATCTAAACCTCTGTTTTTAACCTTAGCGGTGAGACAAGTTTTTTTGCATGCTGGCTGGTGAGAGTGCTGGGAAACGTTTTCCTGTCATAAAGAGCACCTGTCACCACCTGGAAGCTGCCATTGTGGACCTTGGCTTGGCCGTCATACTGAACCCCATGTTCCAAAACTTTGACTCAATGATCCAGAAGGGAGGTCATTCCACTTAAAATTGAACAATTGATTTGGTGACTTTGGAAAGAAATGGGTCACTAAAGTCATTCTTACAATGCCATTGTCTGGAACCTTGCAGGAACAATTTGCCACAATTTGAGCACTGCCACCTTAGGGCAGGGAGTGTGTTACTGGAGAGGAGGTGGTGTTTGTAGCCCAATATCAGGAGTGCAATGAGCAATGTCACCCTCGGGCAGGGAGTGTGTTACTGGAAAGGAGAAGGTGTTAGTGCTCACTGCATTCCTTGTATTGTGCTACAGTCACCCTACGGCAGGGAGTGTGTTACTGGAGAGGAGGAGGTGTTTGTAGCACAATATCAGGAGTGCAGTGAGCACCGTCACCCTAGGGCAGGGAGTGTGTTACTGGAGAGGAGGTGGTGTTTATAGCCCAATATCAGGAGTGCAGTGAGCAATGTCACCCTCGGGCAGGGTGTGTGTTACTGGAGAGGAGGAGGTGTTTGTAGCCCAATATCAGGAGTGCAGTGAGCAATGTCACCCTCGGGCAGGGAGTGTGTTACTGGAGAGGAGGTGGTGTTTGTAGCCCAATATCAGGAGTGCAGTGAGCACTGTCACCCCTAGGGTAATGTGGGGTAACTGCGGCTCCTATCAGCCTGTCATTAGTTTGTAGACATCCTGGCTGCGGCTGAACCCACACACCTGTCATCCCAGCCGCAGCCAGGATGTCTACAAATCAATGACAGGCTGACAGGAGCCGCAGCTGATCCTTGTGTGGTTGCATGCAGCTGGGGACAAATAAGCAGCTCTGGACACAGACAGTTTGCCTCCAGGTCCACTCATTTTACCCATCCACATGCAACCACTCCATGTGTGGCTACATGTGGACAGCTGCGGCTCCTGTCAGCCCATCATTGATTGATGAGAAGCTCTGGACACAGACAGTTTGCGCCCAGGTCCACTCATTTGTCCCTATCCACATGTGAACAGCTGCAGCTCCCATCAGCCTGTCAATGATTTATACACACTTCCTGCCCATGACTGATCGCAATGTTGAGATCACAGCCGCAGTATTATGCAGATTCTTGACAGTGTATGGCCTTATTGGGTGAACGTAAAGCCTAAATATGCCAAGGGCATCCATTATTTATTTTATCTCAGGCAATTTATATAGCGCCACCAATTTAATCAACACTTTACATATTATTAATTCACTTTAGTCCCTGCCCTCAGGGAGCTAACAAACTAAGGTCCCCATACACCTACTAGGGCCAATTTAGGCAGGAGACAATTAACCCACCACCAGATCTTTGGAATGTGGGAAGAAACGAGGAGAATATGCAAACACCATGCAGATAGTGTTCTGATTGGGATTTGAACTGAAGGCCCCAATGCTGCAAGGCAGAGAGATAAATAAGCCACATCAATTAGATCTTGTCATGAAAAGTGTTCATATGAAAGCTAACAGTAATCTTTCCTTGGCAAGCCGAGTTCACTTAATAATTGATGACCGACAGTTCACAATGCAAAAAGGCAGAGTGGCGGCGCTGCAGCCGGGGCGACTTGACCTAAACTTGTGCAAAATGTCTTCTCTCTTTTGTTAAATCATTGGAAGTAAATAGACCTAAAGTTTGGTCAAACAAAACAATGGCTTCACTATTTGCTTTCTTACTTGTATCCCGTAACATTGCGGCCAACCACCAGGTGTTTGGGCTCCGTATCGCACAGGTAGGTGTTGAAATCATTCTCGGGCACCAGGTCCACATCGTGTAAGATGAAACAGTCCCATTTCTCTTCTTTCAAGGCTTCCAAGTAGCCCACATTGAGTAATTTGGCCCTGTTGAATTTCCCTTCGCCGGCCTGCGTTGACAATGAAAAGGGACATTTTTCTCCGTCACTAAAACAAGCAATAAAAGGATAATTCAAAGCTAAACTTCAATTCCGGTGATACCAGTCAAGTGTCCATGGCTTGATGCTTACCTGCCCCTCTGACTTGCTGGCATACATAGCCCTTGAATTATGATTAGTGTTATTCTTACTAGGGATGCACCAATGCTAGTATCGGTGGCGAGTATTTGGGTGAGTACTCGTACTCGCCCAAATGCTCCGATGCCTGGCCCGATACTTCCGTTATCAGGAAGCCGGGCAGCGCGTCATTACACTCTGCCCGGCTTCCCGATTTGCCGGCTCCATGCTCCCTCGTCACTTGTGCAATGACTCGCTGGCTTCCTGATTGGTCGGGAAGCTGGCCAATCAGGAAGCTGGGCGCCATGTTATGACACGTTGCCCGGGTTTCATCGACAGGCAACGGCAGGTCTTACATCAAAGTCTATCACTTCTGACTGTAAAGGCTTAAATTGCATAACAGCAATGTTCGCACAGAGTGTTCTTACCAACTATGGAGGACATGTCTGATTATAGTGGAGAGGTATGGCAGACATACCTCTTTTATGACAACATGAGGAACACAATTCAAATGTAAAAAGCACATACAGGCAGCCAAGAACACAATATGACTATCGCGCTCATCCTTGACCTTTGTGCCAATTGGTTACACAAGTTGTTCCATCATAGACAGACAATCTGTAGTGTGAGATATATCAGGGGTGGGCTGTGACAGAGCGACCTGTCCAATCCCATGGCACTTTTACCAACATGTGACCATACGCAGTTACAATCCTACCATGCCGTCACCAAGCTGTGGCGAAACTGATCTCACCCGGCACAGAGATTTTCCCGCTTGCGGGAAAACAAATCTAAGGCCAGCAGGCTGGGGGTTGGATAAATCTGCAGTTAACCCTTTACACCAGGGGTGTAAAATCAGGGGTAGCCAAACTCCGGCCCTCCATCTGTGGTGAAACTACAAATCCCATGATGCATCTCTCTCCGGGAGTCATGCCTGTGGCTGTGAGAATCTTGCAATGCCTCATGGGATTTGTAGTTCCACCACAGCTGGGAGGGCCGGAGTTTGGACACCCCTGCTTTACACAGAATAATAGCTGCCACCACGCAATTTAACGGAAACACACATTGTTCCCAGCAAATGCTGTGACAACTCATAAACATAAATAATAATCTCTTCTCGATGGTAAACAAGATCTTCCTAGCTGCCTTGTGCAGCAGAATTTTGTGGGCCCTCTAGGGGATGTCAATGAGTCAGCCCCCCCCCGTCCAATCAGAAAGTCTCAGAGGCTGTGACAGAAGGCTGAAGTGCTTTATTACCTCTCACCTGTCTCACCCAGAATGTAATTTTCACAACAGTAGCTATATTTTGATATACTCACATTTTACCACCTGATAAACAATAGATTATTGTGTGTTCTGTTCTGAAATTAGTTTTGTATAGATACCAGACATCACCAGGGGTGCGGAACTCGCATCGCACGAGACACACAGTTCTGGGTGCCAGCCAGGTTTTTTTCTTCTATATTTAGCCCTGCTGTGGGTAAGCAGCAGGGCTAAATATAGAGCAAGGGAGCCATTTTGTACAAGTGATATGGGTGGCTGTACAGCTGACCAGATCACTTGTAAGCAGCCTGCCTGTCACTTCGCCCCCGTCCCCTCCTCCCCCTTCCAAGGGTTTGGCCCCTCCACCGCTGCCTCCCTCCCCGCCATTGGTTTTCGGATCCCCCGCTCTACTGGGGGACCCGGGACCACACCAAATTAGTTCAGGATGCCGAAGGACATACCAACAGCCGGCTCTGTCTGAGGTTGAGGCGAGTATAAATTTGTTGTTTGCGTGCCTAGACGAAAACGAACCCTTAACCCTTGCAGTGTGGGGATAGCCCCAAGGCAATGGTTAAGGTTTTTTTCCCCAGAGTTCTTTTTT